CAGAACACAGTGTGGGGCTTCAATGGGACAAGATTGAATTTCTTCACAGTTGATTCTGGCTGAATTCAGAAGGCTTCCTATGTTCCAATCACTTTGAATTCAGTCAAAAATTCATTCAGCAGAATTATGAGGTTTTGTACAGACAAAAAAGTAATTCCAGAGAAAAATTGACAGTTTGATAGATTCAAGAGATATTTAGGATTGAGAACGTCATGGGGGGATGGGAAGTGGAGGGTGCAGGAATAGTGATACTTGAGGTCAGACTCCTGGGTTTCTTTCTGGGTAAAGAGGAAGAAAAATACTTAAATTGAAATGAGTGGAGTTAGGAATATTGTAAAATCAAGACAAATGTTTTCCCATCTCCTATATTAGCACTAAAGAGCAAAACCTTTTAGTTTACTGTTGATCATACCAAGGCAATCTTTTGGCTGCCTAAATTGGTTCATTTCCAAGGTCAATGAAAAACTGAAATATAGAATTTTAAAAATAGATATAGAGTGTTTAGACAAAAGCATGACAATACTCTAAAATTTGGTGATGGATGAAAATAAAATTAATGAAAATGTTACATTCTGTTATTTTTCCGCGATCTTTTAACTTTAAGTTCTTAGAATATTTAAGAGCAAGTTATTATGTTAATAAGTTGAAAGTAAAATATACTACTTGGTTCTTTGGCTTAAAAGAATTTAACCTTGTTGGTTTTGGCCACCACTCCCCTGCCCCACTCCTCAATACCTGTCCTCTGAGCACTTACATAAAGGAATGTGTATAACTATTACATAAAATTACCAATGCCATATATAAATTACTCCAAATTCTGTGGTAGTGGGGTCCTTATTAACCTGTTTTAAGTGAGTCTTCTCTACAAGTTGACATTTTGCCAAATTTCTCCCCCATCAAGGTTGGCGGTACCAGGTAGCTGTCACACTTTCTGGAAAGAAAGTTACAGGACATGTCTTAGTTTCCTTGTATGGAAGTGGAGGAAACTCTAAGCAGTATGAAGTTTACAAGTGAGTAAAATATCACTTTAAGCTTCAATCTTAAGTGTTGAAATAACTGTGTCTGTATAATGTATGCTATTGACAGAAGAGTTTGTTAATTCTTTACTCTGTGGGAGTAGAGTGCTGTCACATATAATAAAAAGAAATATATTCTTTCACATTGATACCTTAATACATTTCAGAATTATGTTTCTAAATTTTTTCTCTATTTCCTGAGAAAATCATTAATGTTTGCTTTGATGTCAGATATCTGAATTGTCAACAGTAAATAATTATTCTCCCTGCAAAAATGTGAGAATGGTAATATAATGATCTCACCATAATTGTGAGAAGATAGTAACTAAAACATGTTTGTAGGTTGTTTAAAAATTATTTATTTATTTGTTCTAATTAGTTATATATGACAGCAGAATGCATTTCAATTCATAGTACACAAATGGAGAACAATTTTTCATTTCTCTGGTTGTACATGAAGTAGAGTCATACTCTTCATGTCTTCATACATATACCCAAGTAATGATGTCTGTCTCATTCCACCATCTTTCCTACCCCCATGCCCCTTCCCATCCTCTACCTCCCCCTTGCCCTATCCAAAATTTCTCCATTCCTTCCATGCCCCCGCACCGCCACCCAATTATGAATAAGTATCCACTTATCAGTGAAAACATTCAGCCTTTTGATTTTTGGGATTGGCTTACTTCACTTAGCATGATATTCTCCAGCTCCATCCATTTACCTGAAAATGCCATGATTTTTTTTCTCTTTTAAAGCTGAGTAATATTCCATTGTGTATACATACCACAGTTTCTTTATACATTCATCTGTTGAAGGGCATCTGTCACATTAGTATTATAATTGTGCTACTATAAACATTGTTGTGGATGCATCACTATACTATGCTGATTTTAAGTCCTTGGGTATAGGCTGAGGAGTGGGGGACAGCTGGGTCAAATGGTGGTTCTATTCCCAGTTTTCCAAGGAATCTCCATACTGCTTTCCATATTGGCTGCACCACTTTGCAGTCCCACTAGCAATGTAAGAATGTGCCTTTTCCCCCACATCCTCAACAACACTTATTGTTGATTGTATTCTTATATTCCATTCTGACTGGAGTGAGAGGAAATCTTAAGAGTAGTTTTGATTTGCATTTCTCTAATTACTAGAGATGTTGAACATTTTTTCATGTATTTGTTGATTTATTGTATATCTTATTCTGAGAAATGTCTGTTCAGTTCCTTAGTCCATTTATTGATTGGGTTATTTGGTTTTTGGTGTTATGTTTTTTGAGTTTTTTATATATCCTGGAGATTAGTGCTCTATCTGATGTGCATCTGGTAAAAATTTGCTCCCAAAATATAGGCTCTCTCTTCACCTCATTGATTATTTCTTTTGCTGAGAAGAAGCTTTGTAGTTTGAATCCATCCCATTTATTGATTCTTGATTTTATTTCTTACACTTTAGGAGTCTTGTTAAGGAAATTGGGGCCTAATCTGACATGATGAAGATTAAGGATTACTTTTTCTTCTATTAAGTGCAGCGTCTCTAGTCTAATTCCTACGTCCTTGATCTACTTTGAGTTTTGTGCATGATGAGAGATAAGGGCTTAATTTCATCTTTCTGCATATAAATTTCCAGTTTTCCCAGTACCATTTGTTGAAAAGACTATCATTTCTCCAACATGTGTTTTTGGTGCCTTTGCCTAGTATGAGATAACTGTATTAGGTGTGCAGTTTTAATAATAAAGATAACCTAAAAGAAACACGAGTCAAAACATAACACTGAGTTAATGTGTATGTGTAAATTTATTTAATGCATTATGATGATAAGTATTATATTAATCATCTTGGCTTGCATTGTACACTGGCTCTAGAAATATATATGTGTATTTATATATTTACATGTATGTTTTTATGTATATGTTTTGGTGTGTTTCAGTATATTTTTGTTCTTTTCTTAACTCCCCAGGGGCTACCTCCAACCAGGAAAGACTCATACTAGTGAGTTTGATTCTGATGTGGATGTTGGAGATGTGCAGAAGGTTAAATTTATTTGGTATAACAATGTGATCAACCCAACACTACCCAAAGTAGGAGCATCTAGCATCAGAGTGGAAAGAAACGATGGAAGAGTGTAAGTAATAAAAATCCAAAGGGCTGAGAAGGATTGAGTATTATTGTTCACAATTCTATCCCCACTAAAATTCTCCTTTAAGTTAAACTTCCTACAGTGACTCACCTGTATTCCAGCCACACCTGCTTTCTAATATCTTCTGTGTCTTTAGGAGAAAGTACAGTACTTAAGGAAAATCAACTTTGATAGATTTGTAGTCAGAGTTGTTATATGATACAAATTAAGTGTTACAATGAGAATCTGGCTTTCCTATGGAGAAAAAAATATGCTGGGCAAATGAACCTTTTGCTGTATTTGTCATCAATGTGTGTGTCTCCCCGAAACTTCATGGGTTCAGCAAACTGTCATTTAAATTGTTAGGAACTCATTAAACTTATCAGGGAACAGAGGTATGTGCTCCATATCACTGGTCCTTTAGGTGAAGACAGACATCCAGGAGATGAGTCCTTCACCCTGACCATGACTGGACTGTGTGTGAGACAGAGGGTGTTTACCAAGGGAACTACCAGGAAGGGTGAACTGATGATGGTCACAGTAGTACCAATTTAAACTCAAGAGGATGTGAGTTTCAGCCAAACTCTGGTGCTTCTGTAATCAGGCCATTGTCTTCATAAAAACCCAATGAAGGGACTTCTGCTTCTGGCAAAGGTGGAGTAAAGGCCCCACGTTCACCTTCACAGATGAAGCAACCAAGAATTCAGGCAAAGATATGACAATAGTTGAGACACTGAATTTTAATCAATAAGAGGGAGTGATGCCTGATAGAAAAAAAACAAATAAACAACAAAGATGAAACCTTAAAACTGGTTAAAACTGCCCCTGTCTTGAATTTCCAGGATGTGAAATAGGCAGGAGTAGTGCAGGCAAAGTTCAGTGGACCCTCTAAGTCAAAAAGACAATGTTAAGAATCAGTGAATCTCAGGCAACCGGACATTATGGCACAGCCTACCAGACAGTAGAGAACTTGAGAGAGAAAATCCTCGAGTTCTAGAAAAATCCCTTGAGTATTCAGCACTGTACTGGTCAGCTCATGTGTATTGGCAAAGTTGCCATGGCCAGGGAAATAGTCATTTGAAAGGATTAGAGAGAACAGAGCCAGTGACCTTCAGGGTTAATAGTGCTTGTTTCCACCCAGCCTGGGAAAAGTTATAATGCAAGAGTCATGGGTAGAATATGTCAGACAGTCTTCTTTCCTATGGAAAATGGTTGGTCTAGATTCAGCAGCACTTGACATGATCAAACTGTTTCCAAATAACTGCATCTCAGAACAAAAGATTTATAGAGATACATAATTATCCAGCACTAGCAAGATAAAAGTCACACTATATGAAATTAACTCAAAGATTCCAGTTAAAAAAGCAGAACAAGACACCTATAATGAGGAAAGTAATCAATGAATTGGTACCAAGCCAGCATTGACACAGTTAAAATGTTAGAATCAGCAGGCAAAAGTAAAGCAGTTAGTAAACATCTATTCCATTTTATTAAAAAAAAATCAAAGGAAACATTGTATATATAGAAAAAGATCTAAATTGAACTTCTAGGGATGACAAATAATATTTCACTGGAAAAATACCCTGAAGACGATTAACAAGAATTAGACATTGAAGAAGTAAAGATGAGTCAAGTTGAAAATATAAGAGAAAGCATCAAAAACCAAACACAGAAAGAAAATATATGCAGAGAACGTCAATGACCTATGGGAAATTTCAATGACACTATGTATTTATCTTTGAAGACCACAAAGGAGAAGGGACAGAAAAAAAATACACTTTAAGAAATAAAGGCTCCATAATTATCAAACTTGTGAAAACTATAAGCCAATGAATCAAAAAATGAAGGAAACACCACCATTAGCCACTAGGTAGCTCTTTGAGTTATCAAACTGACTGTTGATATATTACTGTGCTTGGTTTTAAGTTCTTCTTATTTTACTTAAAACCTCCAAACACAAGAGTAGCCATCACACCACAGGGAGGGAAATTACAATAAAGAGAAAAAAATTTTCTGAACACTTTTTACTTTGCATATGCTAATGTATTTTATTAGGGAAAATTAGCTCCAAATATCTTAAACATTGTTTAGTCTAATGAGAAAAATGGATCATTTCACTTCAATTGTTGAATTAAAATAAGAACCGCGAGCCAGCGCGAGGACCTTCAGAGTTTCAGGCAGGGCTGATTTCTTGTACTGTTGGCTCTGCTCTTGCTTAGTTGCCTTGGTTGATAAGTACCAGCTATTCAGCAGCTGCATGACAGGACAAAGGAGCTCTTCCTGTTCTTTGGAATATTCCTTGACAGCTCCTTTCTCTGCTGCTTGTACAAAGGCATAACAAAATCAGAAAGGAGAATTCAGTCCTTCAAGAAAAGTCTTCCCTCCATGTCCACCCTCGGGCACAGGGTGTGCCCCCCACCCAGACGCAGGGGGAGAATAGTGGCTGTCCTCACGCTCAGCACTCCAGCTGGTGCCAGGAAGACCTGACCTATTGTTTTCTCTCCACAGGTTCAACTTCTGCAGTTCCGACACTGTGAGGGAGGATGTTCTGCTGACCCTCACCCCGTGTTAGGAGGAGGCTGACATATGTCATTGAACCTTACTGCTAATAAATTCTAGTGGTGAAGCAATACATTCTTTTGTCGTCAATATCCATGATTCCCAGTGAAACTTTTGAATATGGTGATTAAAATCCAAAATCTGCAGTTTGTGGAAAGAACCACAAACGATTACTGAACTTCACTGCATATTGAGTGACATTTGAACTGGATACACTGCTTACGTGATACTGTCACCTTATCCATTATTAACATTGCTGATGTGTCTTAGATCACTGAAGGCAGATTTCCAGTCCCAAAGTGACCCCTCTTGGTAGGCCCATGTAGAAAGTAACATCTTTGCTTCTTTGTCCATCATCTTTAAGTTCTGTGTCTCCTCCTCATCAGACATGTCAGGACTGATGACACCGAGGAGATGAGGATGGGACACATCTGAGGCTTCCTGACGGGTCTCCCTGCACCCTGTGGATCTCCCCAGACCCTTCCATCTCTGCAGTCCATATGATCTTCCTAAAAGGAGACAAATTAATGACATCTGAAGAGAAACACAGGGAGCTGTTATGGTTTGGATAGGAAGTGTTCACCCAAAGCTCCTGTGTTCGTGCAGTAATAGAAGTGAAATTATAAGATGATGACAATTATATTGGTTCATTGCAGTTGGACTGGACTAACTGGGCAGTAACTACAGGCAGGTGGGGTGTGGCTGGAAGAGCAGTGTCACTGAGGGCACATCCTGGAAAAGTATGTTTTCTCTACTGCCCCTCTCCGTCACTCTCTGCTTCCTGGGGGCCATGAGCAGAGCAGCTGTCCTCTGCCCACCCTTCCATCATGAGGTTCTGCCTCCCCTTAGGCCCAGAGCAATGGAGTCTGCTGACCATGGACTGAATCTCTGAAACCATGAACCAAATTAATGTTTCCTTCTCTTAAGTTGTTCTTTTTAGGCATTTTGGTCACAGTCTCAGAAACTTAACTAACAAAATAGCCCATTTTATCTTTCTAAAGCACAAATCAAACATCCTCTGGTGATCTGCAGGAGAGAATCCACATTCCCTAGGGAGTCTTGCAAGCTCACTCTAAGTCTGCCTTTAACCTCAGATTCATCTCCTAGAACATTCCTTCTGGAACTTCATATTCCAGCCCTGTCCCCCAGGAGGCTCTTGATCTCAGATACTAATGGACACTTGCACACTTTCTCTTCCTAGAATGTTCTTTTTCTGTTTTTCCATCTGTATCTGTTTAATTCCTATTTTTTCAGGAGGGGGGATTTGTTTCGCAGTACTTGGGATTGGATTGAGGGGTGCTCTATCACTGAGTTAAGTTGTGCAGCCTGTCCTCAAACTTGTAATCCTCCTGCCTCAGTCTGCCAAGTAGCTAGGATTACGAGAGTATGCCATGGTGTCCAACTGTTGGCTCTTAAAGAGTCATGTTGATTTCATTCATCCAGGAAGGCTTTCCTCACCTCCGTTATTCACATTGCCCAAGATTGAATTAGAGTTACAGTATCCCTCTCTGCACTCCCACCAACCCCAGAGTTTCCTCCCTCTAAACTTACCTGTCCATATGGAACTTATAGTTCCATTTTTCTGTAGATACCATTTGTAAACCACATGATATGTGCCTGGTATATGTCTGGCAATATTTAAAAATGAATATTTTTAAAAATTCACTTTACCAACAAAATGAAGCAATAAGTCTATCAAAGTCCAGCACTTAAAATTAGGCAATATCTAAACAAAAATAATAATAAGAAGCAATAACTTCTTCAAAGTCTAGCATTTAAAATTGGGCAATATCTAAACAAAATACCCTACACGGGGAAGGGATATCCATGCTAGGTCTTACAAGATGGGTAGGGAGATGCCAAGAGGACATGGTGGCAAAGGCACTCCAAAGAGTAGAAACAAGATAGACAAAGATCCATGGGTATGAAAATATGAGAAATTGATAATGCCTTTCTTTCCATATTTCACTAAAATACATTCAGTTTGAGCATGAAGATTTGTTCTTAGGCCATCAATATGTGTCAAGCAGGATGCTTTCTCTCTCATGAACCAAAAGCACCAACCTACACTAGCTTCTATGAGGAAATGTATTGGCTCATGCAGCCGGAAAGTCCAGAAGTCAGAATGGATTTGTTGTTGCAGCAGCTCAATGACTTTTTCTCTTTCCATGCTCTTCTGTGTCTGGTGATGCTTCTCTGTCAAGGATGGTTCCCCTCCCACTTGAAGGGAGCTGCAGATCTCCTCTCTCACACTCAGTAAAAGAGAGAGTGGGCATCTACCTGCCTTCCCATCTTCCTCAACATTCCCTTTCTGAGATCCCCTCTGATTGGCCAGTGGTAAGGAAAGTGCTGGTTGCCTTAACTCAATCAGGGCCCACGCCTGGGCATGGGAGGAGGTCAGCATGCCCAGTGTGCATGGAGCAGGTGGAGAAGCAATGGATACTTAGGTGAGAACAAGAAGTTGTCCTCCTGTTTCTCCTCGTAGTGGAAGAATGGAGCTGCTGTTGGCTGAAAGGGGTAATGTTTGGGGAGGAACAGGTTTGGGAGGGAGGTCAGAATGTCAGTTTTAGTCACGTCACACTTGAGGTATTCACCAGACTTCCAGTTGGCCATGCCTAGTGGGCAGATTTATACACATGCTCAGTGTTAAGAATATAGGATTAGTTAAATAGGTAAACTTTGGCATCTTCAGTGTACAAATAACATCTTTAAAAGCCCCATATTCATCTTCAAAGAGATTGGCACAATGCTCTCCACATGTGAGTACCTAATAAATGTTTACTAGTAGCCATGAGTACCTCATGTAAATATTCTGCAGCACTAATAATAATGATGATCAATAAAATCAATGAATAAAAGTATTACTTGCAAATTTATTCAAGTGATGAAGCAAAGTTATTTAAAATAATCCAATTTAAAATACATTTACTATGAAGAATTTTCATTTTATGAAAGTTGTTGGAATCAAAACAGAATCACTTTTATTCAGCTATAACCACAAAATAAATAGATGAAGCCAGCAGGCTATAATAACAGACTCTCATGCGTGCATGCTGATAACTAGAACTGTTCACAAGAGGCTCTGCCACAATCACAACTATGCTACCTCACACGTGAGGACATCTGCCCACCACCTGTCTGCTTTGTCTGGGACATATGCCACTCTTGCAGCCAATGATTATTGTTTCAAAATATCTCCTCATTTTGCCTTTAAGAACTTCCCCCAGATTCATCCTCCTGGATAACACATAACTTTATAGCTTGTGTCTTCCTCTTTCAAAGTTCTGTTTTTCTCGAGTAAATATAATTTTCTTTGAAGCATCTCTCTTTGATTATAATTTTTGGACAATTTTCATCATAATGAATTTTTTTGAAAGTCATTTTTTTCAAATGAATAATTTTTTGTCTTTTTCCATTTATTTATTTATTTTACAAATACATAGCAGATAATATATTTTGAAATATTATACATACATGGAGTATAACTTATTCTAATTAAGATCCCATTCTTATGGTTGAACATGATAGGGAGTTACACTGGCTGTGTATTCATACATGAACATCATAGGAAAGTAATGTCTGTCCGATTCATTCTATTGCCTTTCCTATTTATATCCCCCCTCCCTTCCCTTCATTCTCCTCACTCAGTTTTATTTTCATTTCTTCTTCATGGAATATTTGAGTATGTTTTGCAGTGTAATCTTTCTGGTTGTGAATTCTTTTGTTTTTCATGAAAGATTTTTTATTTTGGCAATTCTGAAGCTTAATTTTGCTGGGTGTAGTATTCTTGATTGGCATCCATTTTCTTTTAGAGCTTGGCATATATTATTCCAAGATTTCCTAGCTTTGAGGGTCTGGGTTGAGAAATCAACTATAATCTGGATTGGTTTCCCGCTAAATGTGACCTGTCATTTTTCTTTG